TATCTTGGACATTCTATTCGCAACCAACCTAGCAAGACATCCTTTATCGCTCTTCTCGTCATAAAGAACTACGACGGAATCAGTCCAAAAATAAATGCTAGGTAATATCTGATCCATTTCTTTCTCGTACATTTCCGTTACCTGAACGGCGGCCACAGCAGCAATCAACTCCAATGTTGGAAGGGAGACCGCCTTCAGAGGTGCCAAACACGACATAGAAAGCTCAAGTACGCATCTAGTTTTCGATATGTTGGATACAAACTTAAGGTAGGACACTGCTCCGTAAATAACTTCAGACGTATCACGAAATAAATGTTATTCATGGTCGACATGTGCTTTCAAAACATTATGTGCATACCATCGTGGCACTTGTACCGATCTCGTCCCCTTCACAATCCCCATTATCTCTTCCCACTTCGCTTCAGTATCCACTCCCAGTGGTCGATCCCAACCAACTTTCCTTGGGCACAAACCTTGGAACAATTATTTCATGGATAAAATAAACAGGCCAACTCATCCTAGAGTGTAATAGATTGTGGCCATTTGTGTCAACAGTTCTGTTCGTGTTGTCGGCCGATCCTCGATGTGATCATGGTATTCAGAGGATTCCAGATCAACATTCCAAACCAAATCCAATGTTCTCACGGTTGGCTATCGGTCTGCATCGATATTTTTTATAGTATTGTTCCTTTGATCAACTGAAATGGCGTTTCAAACCTCTCACTCGTTACTCAGCCACTCGGATAACATAGATCCACCAAGACCTGATAGAAGACGCAGTCCATTCACCAGCACAGTGCTTTTGCGGCATTGTTGGCAGAAATTAAACAATCGTGGACTTCAAAGCCTTTGAAAAACACCTGTGATACAGCCGACAAGAATTGGTGACCAAACAAATCAGTTGCTTCGTTTAGGGCAAAACTCGCACAAAGTGGTCACGAAACCACCCCAGAAGGACGCACTATCATTTAAAACTCCTTCTGATTCACAGCATCATCCTCGAATTATCAGAGAAACTTAAGGGTATCTTGGTCTTCCTCAGATAATTCCACCATTAGGAATATATCTTCAGTATGGGAAAACGGAGCCACAGACTTCTGACAAAACTGAAGAAATACAACTACCAAACTCAGGACTAAATTAGGGACTCAAATGTAGTGTGCATTCAGTGATTCCTCCTGAAATACTGTAGCACAGTGAAAGACAACCTCAAGCTGTTCGAGTGTTTTAAGGATTGAACACCGAGTGGTGTGGTAAATACCATTCTACACGCCTACATGCCATGAGCTCTACTGATCCCTACGCGGCACATTGTCGTTCAACGTAGCGCTCAATTACAGACGCATATTCAAACTTAAATTCTGGATCCTTGAGAAGGCTATTTCCAAACAACCCCAAACGATAAAGAGTGACCGTTTGATTACAAAGTTGCACTCAATTATTGTCCTTCCATGGAAAAGAAACACTAAGATTTCCTTTCTCGAGCGGTAAAACGTCTCCACTATTTTGATGGTTTTTCATCTTCCGCAGGCAGGGAGGTTTCTAGCTGATCACTGCCATCAAAATCTCCATCAGAAACCTTTCAGAGGTTATTTCCAACATCTGCAGACTGTGTACGGCACATGTTCTAATCTTACCCGATCGACTATTATCCAACGGATCTCACATGACTCAGTCTGAAGGGGTGTGGTCAACATAAGGGTCTCCTTTAGAATCTCTTCACCGTTCTAAAACCCAGTGAGCCGAAGAGTCACCTAAACCTGAAATAGCTGAAAATTCTATTCCCCTCAAATGGTCCCACTTGGACAAGGTTTCCTTGCTAGATATCATGACCGCTGTCCAAAACATTCTTACAATATGCCTCCAGCTAGCTGATAACCTTCAACAACGGGATAAAGCAAACTACCTTGAATGGCCTCGTTCGCTTTCCTTTCACAATATTGAAACAAATAATTGAAAACCCGACCGTCTTCCCTAACCCTTCTCTCAACCTGGCTCTCATATTGTTGAAGAACAGAACATGCTGTAATGGCCAACCAATAAACTTCAGAAGTTCATATTTAGACAATTGGAACCTTACCAGAAGCTGGTTTAGCCCATCTATCTCATTCAAAGGGGCAGACTTCTCATCATAATGAAGGCTGTGGCGGCGGCTCGCACCAGCCACTGGAGTGTTCGTACCCATGACAGATAATTTAGTATGGAAGTCACCACTTATCGTTTTCCGGAGTGACGACTGCCCCGCAGTATTCTTAAGTCCATACCGTTCGGGCGCCACAGCTCCCCTTCGTGTGACTTCAGCTGCCATACGCATAGCTTCAACGGCTTCCATCCCTAATTGGGCTCTTTCCGACTTTGGTGAGTATCTGGCACATCAAGGCAAAAAGGAATTCGGAGACTTACCGGAGGGTGGTGTAACAGCCACAGCAGCTGGTGGTTCATAATTAAAATTGCCCTTACTAATTAATTTCATCGTCAGCAGCTGAATGTTAGAAGAGACACCCACAAAGTGACAACTCAAAACAAAGAGAAAGAGTTAAACCGAAGAGGTCCAAACTCACGAATGCAAAACAAAAAGAGGGGTTTCACAAAAGATCCCACTTGGAGACACCTTGAGTATCCAACCAAGGGTAACTGTGAATCGACTCATCTAAGTCGTCTAATGATAGAAGAAATGCTCAAAGGTGAAATAGCCTGTTACTCACGCAGGTTAAAAGGGATAGAGTAACCTTCAAGATCGGAGATAACAGCACTCAGCAAAATCAAGTCCACGGAGAAACGGAACTTTTATATGGTGGATGATGCGGTATCTAAATATCAAATATGAATATGAAGTGGTATTAGTCACTCCCAATGGAACTAACTGGATTCAGTGGAAATGCTATTACTACTACTACTAATACTACTATTACTACTACTACTACTACTACTACTACTACTACTACTACTATCAATACTACTACTACTACTACTACTATCAATACTACTACTACTACTACTACTACTACTACTACTACTACCACTACTACTACTACTACTACTATCAATACTACTACTACTACTACTACTACTACTACTACTACTACTACTACTACTACTACTACTACTACTATCACTACAACTACTACTACTGTGGTAGAGTATACCATGTCTTGTTTTGTCAAAAGCGAAAATTATCTTCGATGGACAGCAATTATGTTTGCTTTAATTACAGATTGCATGCACATATCTGTGTGTGATCAGATCGACCTCTCACACCTGCGAATGGAACGTGTACTGAACGCGAGTTTGCACCTTGAGGCGCGACTCAGCAACACGTTTAACTTTGCACACCACGGTGTGATAACAGATACTTGAGTGAAACAACGGTTGTCCTGTCTAGAAGGCTTAATTACTGAAGGTTTGCTTTGTAATTCGGGTTGATGCCAATGCACAACTATCAGTCTAGTCAGAGGTAGTTCATTTTGTCTAGTGGTACCTTGGGTTAACGCGGTGATTTTTGTTACTGGAATGGATGATTCTATATACTTTTTCTTATTATTGAACAAAGCATCGTCGGAAAATAAATTCACAATAGTAAGTGCTAATAAAATAATGTATTTAAACTCCAGTATAACAAAATAACCTCAACTCAGCTATTATTGTGTCCATTTGTTTTGCAATGATATAAATTAATTTTCAGTATCCGACTGCAACGTTCCTTGAGAAGTTTGTTTCGATTCATTCTTTTTGCCTGCACGAATAATCCCTACCATTGGCTACTGCATCTTACTAAGGTGACTTTGGACTGTTTTGTGAATTCAAGTTTTACCAATCTTGATATATCAGTCACTGTTAGTGTCTAGTTGCTTTTTTTTTACATCCGAGGTATCTCCGTGTTAGCCTCAGCTGTTCACATTTTCCTCAGAGCATAAAGCGAGATTAGTTCCGGTTATCTTTACACTGCATTTTGAGCTGTCAAAGATTTGGTCACGTGGTTGATTAGTCGAGATCAAGCGCCGTAGTATACACCTTTTGGTTGAAAATCATTGGTCCACCATCAACCAATCATCGGGGGCGTGTTTGTGCGTTTGAGCTCTAACCATCTAGCCCTTCTTGATTGGTTGATTGAGCAGGCAACGTTGACCGAGTTTGCTGTGCACCATATGAGTGAGGCAACTTGATCGGAGAAAACGACTAGTGTTGAGTGGCTGAATTCACATTTTCATAGTCGGTTTTTCACGTCTGTGTGCTTGTCTCTAATCACGCTAACGATAATTTATGCAATGCTTTCCAAGGGGACAAAAAACAGGTTGACATATCGGTACATTTACCTGTTAATTTTTGGATGTCTCAGCGTGATCTTCGTTGTCTATAATCTGCAATTTGTCAAACCTGTTTTATCTGTCCCGAAAAACTTTGGCCAATTTCGTCAAGTGACCACACGCAAACAAAACAGTTCTAAAAATGTCGAACTCCTTCAATCGGACATATATCTTTTGTATCCAGAACCAGAAATTGGTGAAAACGGTGAAATAGTGTGGCACTTTGATTTGTTTGAACCTTTACGTAAGAAACATGGTTGGAATGGTACACAGCTAAAATGGCTTCTGGATTTACTCATTAAAAATCTGACCGACTCAAATACAAATGCAAATACATCGGACCCCCAGAGTGAGTTCAATTCTGGCCGGATGGAGGAACAGCTGCTTCGTTGTAAAATTGATTTAGTTTCTTCCTCAACGGATGGATGTGATCCAATCTCCTTGGGTTCATTCCCGGAAAAATTATCCAGTCAGCTTGCACTGAAACAGACATTCAAGGAGAACAACCCCGTGTATAATTTGAGTGGAATGTACTGGCAACCGATGTCCAATCTTAACTCTACTGAGTTGCGTGAATGCTCTAAGACCAGTGAAGGGCGTCGAAATCTGCTGCACGACGCACTTCAGCGTTGGATTCCATTTGCTGCAAAACATCGAATATGGTGGTCGTTAGCATTCGGAAGCCTTATTGGATCGATGCGGTGAGTATGAGTTTCAACCACTATGTTGCAATCTAGAGTTACTGCTTTTTCTTATGCCATGTGTGACCTACATTATCTCACAGACAAAGCTGAATCCAGTTTGTATAATTTTTTTCGTATTAAGTGATTGTGTTGCAAACTTTAAACTGTCTAGTGTGACGACAATTTTTTGTTGACACAGCTATGCATGGGTACGTGAGTAGAACGTGATGAAATGTTCAGAAATGTATTAACAGATCACTGAGTCTACACTCTGTTGTTTTGTTAAATGTTAGATAGAGGAATCTGTGTTCGACTACCGAAAATCTTCATGTATCCCTCACACTCAGTGGCCACGATTCTGAAGCATGCAAAAAGATTAGTTTGACTGTTGCAGCGTACACTTGACCCATGGCAAATATTCGGATGTGGCATCGATACCACGGGTGACTGAGGTTGCTAAATGCCAAACGTTCTCTCAGTTTACGTGAAGACATTTCATCCGATGTCCGACTACCTGGTGAATGCAGCTGTCTAGATAATAATACACATCTACTTGGTGAGTGTCCTCCTTGACACCGTGAGTGTTAAACTTTGACCAGTCCAGTCATGCAGCAGCATTTTGCACTTTGTAGTTATAAAACACATACCGAACAGTACTGCACAGTTGTTCATGCTGCTCAGATAGGCTTGCAAATATCCTGGATCGATGATTGGAAAGACGGTATAGCCCGCCATCTCAAGGACTGAAAATGTTCTACCCGGATGAGTTCAATACCGTAATTCTCTCACACGAGAAAGGCAATCTCTAGGACCACAAAAGTTGCAAATTTGAGTAGAAAAGAAGAAGGAATAACCTTGTGGTACAATCACTTCAGTGATTTACTCATGTAAATGATCACTGAAAGGCAGAACGCGGCTCTGGCTATTCTTAAACGGAAGCTTTATGACTGAGGTGGATTGCTATTGAACACCATTCAGGAAGACGCAGTGACAGAGACTGTGTGGACGGCTGAGTCGAAGGTTTCTTCTAGATCAAGAAAAACGGAAATGGTTGATCTGCCTAAAGTGTACCTATGTTCTGTAATTTGTCGAAGGGTGAAGATCAGGTGAGAAATTCTCCACGAGATTTAAACCTATCCGGATTTTCGTGCAACTACTGTTCGTGGGCATTAGATAAGCGATATACAAAAGCGAGCCGATGGCTAAAATGTATGCCCTTCCTCTCCAAAATCATCAAACCAATGTAAAACTCTGAAACCCTTTACTGAATTCGAAATATTTTGTTATTAATGGAATAGTGCGATGGTTCACAAACGGTAGCTCATTGATGTATGATTGAACCAACTTTGGATGGCTTAGTAGCACTTCCCCTTCGGGCCATGGTCGCTTTCAGCCGTCTGATAGTAAATTGTGACATATGGTTTCGTTTCTCTTTCAAAACGGTCTTTCATTATCTTAGAGATTTCTATTGGCTCTTCTGATCTACTTCCCTCCCGAGATGATCCCAAAACTGTTCAACTGGATCGAGGTCGGGTGATCGAGATGACCACGTGATGACCTCAAGATGGTTCTTAATGCACGTGAAACTGGCGTACGACAGGGGAACGACGTGCGGACTCGTTGTCATTCTGGAAAGTAGCCTTGATAGTTGTGCTCAGCAGTGACAAATTGTATTGGATCAGGACTTCCAAGTAAACCTGACAATTGACGATGCCGTCCAGAAATACCAAACTTGCGTTGAACCTCCATTGCACTGCACCGTTACTAATATCAGTCAGCATGCAAGTACATCAGACGGCGGTTGTCTATGGGGCAATCGAAATGATAAATGGAAAAACCTCGCTGATACTGACGGATATATTGTGGGTAAAATTTAGCTAAATGAAACAATTTACACTTGGTAGTATTGGTGAACATCTTGACCATGTCACTCGCATAGCACACACAAAATCGAATAATACAGAGAGATCAATTGTTATGAAAATAATTTGTAAAGATTGTACCTGGTTTCGTGATCCCAGTATTGATTTTTAATCATTTTGTACCATTCCGAGTACTTCCCACTAGATTCGCTGTATTGTTCATTCGTCTTAATGAAAAACCTCGTAACTCATCCGTAAAAAACAAACACAAGTTCAAAACAAGCTTTTCGTGTGTTGTTCGTGTTGACATGGGCAACACAATACATGGTGACGAACTTCAGCAAAAAAAGTCGGTGACTAGGACAAATTGAAGAGGTTATTCGTGTTGAAATTATCAACACGTTTACTTAGCTTAAACGTGGAACATCCAACTGGACACTAAACAAAGTTGACATTTGGATAACAACCTATGAGATGTTGAATACAAATTTAGGAAATAAACATTTTTATATGAGGTACGAATAACAGTTTTCATAGATGAATAATTACTGATAAAATGTGATAATAAATGATATAACTAATCGAACACTATTTAAAAAGCAGCCGATGAAAGAAAGTGTGAAGCCCTCTGTGTAGTGGCGTGATCTTGGTGGGATGGCCAGAGTTCAGTCATTCACACAAAGGAGGCTGAGAGAGAAAGCGATAATTACGTCAGGTAACCCAGACAATCATGACATAATAGCAGAACGGGTCGAGCATACCTGTGGGTCAGCGCATAAAGGAGGAGAAAGGTTACATAAGTAATAGAATCTATTAAGAGTTCTGTACGAACAGGTGAGATAAACGAACTTCAGTCAACATTTGTCATAGAAACAGAGCTAAAATTATGTGATGCAATGCGAGTGGACAAACAATTACCACGTAGACGGTGAGGTGAGTGGTGATGGTTTGCTTGTAAACTAGCGCATCGAAAACAAACGAACTGTATGACAACAAAACACTGAACAATACAGCAAAAACAAATACATAGCCCGAGGGTGAATGTAAAAAATGGAGCTGGAATGGGCAATTTCTGCGAGAATCAATCTGCTGAGAGAGCTAGTATGAAAACAAAAAATTCCAGTGGTCGCAAATAACTCGCATCTTTTAATTACCTGGATTGGTGGATGCGGCTGTCGTTTTCACGCTGCAGTCCATCCAGAATCAGGGCTGGTAGAGCAAAAGTCCCAATACCTCCGGATCAGTTCCCTCTGATAACGATTCAGTCGAATATACCAGTGCAGTCGTGCAATGCTCGTAGCATTCAAAGCCGAGGACTACGGTCATTTACATGAAACTAACTGTAAGAGTCTATCTCCATTATTCGGCTTTCTTTTTCGGGATAGATTTACTTAATTCACTTAGTCTATTCCGTCTCGCTTGTTCTCACCAGGCAGTTGTTTTTCACCGAAAGCGATTAAGTCTAAATTTTTGATGGCCATCCTCTCTATCAGTTGGCCAGTTCACCATTCCAAATCACTCCTCCCTTATTCAGGTCAGTAGAGTATGATTCAATCAGAGCTGTCGAAACTCAACTTCCTATCATCGACCAATATCACAGCTTTCCTTTCAGTGTTCCAATTGATGTGGCTTTTGGCCAATTCCCCTTGATCCTGAACATGACAATCACTCATATCGTTTTTATCCCCTTTTATATATTGTGCGAACTGAGTTGTTGTACATGCTGAATACTTAAATTCAGCTGCAGAGACCTTTGCAGCTTCAACGCACTTGTGAGTTGGTTGGCCGTGTTACGCAAGAATCATCTCATAACCATCTTGGAGATTATTCTTCGAATTCTACGAGTATATAATGATCTCAATCCTTCCGAAATTTGCAAACAAATATCATCAGTCTGAAAATTTCCATGGAAATCAGGCGTATGTTTATCCCCCCAGTTTTGTATGCATGTAATATTCCTTGTTCTTGTGCGGCAATACGAAGGTCTGCTGTAATACTTCTGTTGTGATAAGTAATTGATTGTTGCTTCATACAAGAATGTGTAACATGTGCGATCTTCGTTCACGAACCACTCATGACTAGATCACTGTTCAGTAACACACGAGCCTTTAAGAACAAGGATTATTGCATTTGGAGCCCAGTACGCTCTTTTCTTCACTCATCCAGTAGTGGGTTTAATATCATTTCGCACCATCCGAGGCACATCAGCCGGTAATAATAGACTTACCGGAGTCTTTCTTGAAATCCGTGTGCATATCTAAAAGCTTTTATTGACTGAACTTGACCTAGTAGTGCGTTGACAAATGAATGAGACAAATATGGTCACCGTAAGTGACAAGGATCTAAAGGATGCGTAAAAACACGATGGGTTTGATAGTATTTCGTAAACGGAAATCTCAACGAGAAGCGATCGCGAGCTGGAAAGGACGTCGAGTTCAGTAGCGGATTACGATAACCTGACTGTGGTATGAAGTCACCTGTTAACAGTGTCTGCTATGGTATCTCCTCTAAAAAGAAAAAAATAGATAGATGACGTTCTCTTTAACGACTTGCTGCCAGGTTTGATACGGATATGTGCAATGTTTTTTCCGATGAGACATTCAAGATATCTGTTCCAAGGGCAGGCTTTCTTCAATTTTTTAAGCCCATCTTAAATTGTGTTTGTGTTGTTTGTCTTAAAGCCTCTGTTTGAGAAGTGCCGAATAAAGTTATTCTCATGTCTCATTTACATAAAAATGTGATATTGTGCTGGATAACCTATCCCCAATACTCCGAGATGGAGGTGATCGTTTTACAGACTCACCCGGGCAAAGTGAGGGGAATAAATCTAACAGTTTCAGGCCATTTAGTGTAATCCATTTCCAGCTTGAATCTCACGTCTTAGTGGAGAATTCAGAACACGCTTTTGGAGACAAACAATTGCTTTCAACGACTCATCCTGTAGCTTGTATAAACAATACTGGAAATGGGGGCGTCGAACGTGTGAAGGATCATTCAAACTAGAAGAAAGGCTGTTTAGGGTGGGGTGGGGATCGAGGTTAGGATTAGATCATCGCGCTGGTTTGCACGACCGGGTCGTGACAATCACAGTTCACCCTTATCCAATTTGATTCATGCAGGACAGAGAAGGAATCATTGGGAACAACAGCTTGCCTGCAAAACTGTGTTCAATTTCCATGTTGGTTTAAGAATTTGACCGATATGTGTTAATAAAAAAGCACAAATCTTGCCGCATTTTTCCTTATTTTGTCCGGACCCAGTCACTGCAACCAAACATATTTTTTGCTTGATAGCCACACTGGATGGTATGAACCTCGTATTATTTGTCAAAAATTGTCTTTTACACGAGAAAAATGAATCACATGCCCCTATCCCTCCAATTTTCTGCCGATTTTCGTTCCAAATATTCCAGTGCCACAAAGGCTTGACGCCTATTGGACTTGTGGTTAAAACTCATGATTTGCCTTTCAGCTTATTTCACCGTTATGCCAAAATAATGAAAGTTTTGTGGCCTAAAATATGGTTCGTTACAGTCCGATTTCAACTATCAAACAACATAATGATTGTGCTTTTTCTCTCTCAACAATGCCACTTTCATCTTCTACCATGCAATTTTTGTGCCGCTTGCCTTGAATATCAGTACCTATCGAACGACTCCATAGATTTATCTGTAAGATTCGTTCATAAACATACTTCATTTCTACACCAAATTTGACTATATTGGGCAGGATATTTATTCAAAAATTCTTTTTAAGTATAGTGGTTCTTCTTCACACGCGCACACAGCTTAAATGAATCAATAAGGAGTCTAAAATACACGGCTTGCCAGTTTATTTCGTACAGCCTGATTGGATTCCGGTGTTTCCCGTCCCCCTAGTCTTGGTGTTTACGATTTTCACTTCACTTTTCAACATCGTGATTCATACTTTATTGCATGTTTCAAAAAATGATTCCGGCAGGGATGGAAACATAATTCCCTATGATACCGACATGGACTTGTTTGTTCTTGGGTCGGATGAGCAGAAAATTCGTCAGTTGGCCACTGCCCGCAAAAATATCACTGTTGGACAGGTAGGTTTTCGTTGTGAGTGGCCTTGCTCTAGTTAACGAAACCGAATTACTTACTGAGTGTATATTCTGTTCACTTTGTGGTGTAAGCATGAACGGTCTCATAATCAGTATTTTGGCACTGCGATGATGAAATAAAAGGCATATTTTAGTGGTGTATTGGCAGAGGTGTAGTAAAGTTAACGGCTTCGCCAACTGCATAGTTAATGTTCATTCCAAATGAACTGAACCGAGCTCCCGTGCTGTGCAAATCCACTTGTTATTCTGGAGGCAAGGCAATAGTCACTAAAGGATAAACTATCAAATAACGGTAAGTACGTGCTGTATTTTTTCCTTGATGGGGATAATTTTCATCATCTAGGGTCTGCTCTAGTACTTCTCGTTTGTGTAGCACCAGGGAAAACAGAACATAGAAAAATTTATTGATCGAAGTGAATCTTATGATACCTGAGGTTGATGCATTAGGTGTATCTGTTTTTGGGTGATAGGGTGAGGGTGAAAATAATTTGCTTCTGGACATAAAGGGGATCTGGTTTAGGCAGTCAGCAGTGGTTTCGGCCTGCATGATTCGCTCTTGTAACAACGATGATGAACGCGTTTTTGCGGTTCGATTCGAGATCCCTTCTAATCAGGTGTACCCTGATGGCCGAGAATTTCCGAAGTGATGCAGTTTAGCTTCCAAGATTTTGCTCTCTTGTCTAGTCTGACAAGTATTTCGGGATGTATTCGGTAGATCTACGGTGTTTACCGGAGTTCACGAAACAAACACTATGGCAACAAGCCTTGTTTCGCAGTTAAAAATGCTGCGCGCCTCTGTTTAAGAGCAGTGCATTAGTGTCAGTTAGGTTACCTGTCACTCACATTGTTCAATCAGTGCAGTGTCACTGAAGACAGTAGACGTAGGAAATGGCGATAACAGATCTTTCGTTACAATATCACATAGGAGTAGCTTAGGACAAAGGGAGAGGCGGATAATATTCTCCAAACTAAAAGGTGTGCATATCCACACGCACAAATAATCCATTGCTATGACACGCTCTTCTTAGGTTTCACAGCGTGATTGCTGCCACATTCACATGTAAACGGCCAATCGAGTAGGTTTAGATTTTGTTTTCCTGGTGAAAAATGACAACAATCATTTCTTTGCATTGATTTCACAAACTGTTAACGGATCGACAATGGTACTTAACCCATGGCTTTCGAGCGCTTGAACTACGGGACAGATAGCAGTTTGCGCAGTTTGATTGGTCGTACCTCTTATGCTTTGTATTGGTGCAAGCGAGACGTGCACCCGGATCGGGCCACACAAAGCCGTTCGACGAGTGGCAAGATTTGATTGGGCGATGCAGTTCTGGATGGAGCATGGCTGGCATCAATTCTATGTGTGTGTGTGCACGTTTGTGAGTGCATGATGAATATGGATCGATTGTCCGTAGCATATAAATTAGCGTGCGAGACTTTGTATGTCTGCCCAAGTGGCTGCTTAGGCCGAACAAAACAAGGTTTTATTAGAAAATTTACAGTAACATTATCGTTGAGAGTAAAACCGATAAAAATACGATTCCGCTAACGCATTTACTTATCTCTGGTAAACAAAACGAATCTACTAATCGTTCCACTCCTGCTAGTTGAATTTGGTTACGCGACCGGGTTCTTACTGTCCGGTTTTTGCTGTCAATCCTGGTGAGCGCATGGATTGCCAAGGTGCAAAGGTTCAATCAATGCGAGATACGTGTTCATTCTGCGGTTCATTGGCTCGGCTTTTCATGGATTATGGAAACTATATTGATCTATTTCCAATCAATATTGAACTACACACAAACTTTGGAGGGTTTCCAGTCAATTTTGGATACACGATTGAGGAAGAGGAGGGGAAAACTGTTCATGAGATGTCGTCACTATTGCCACTAAATCGTTGTCATATGATGGGTTTGGAAGTCCCGTGTCCAAACCATCCTGAAATGTTGCTGGAAAGACTGTACAATAGGAATTGGCGAATCCCTTATTACAAGTGCAACGGGAAGAACGGACAGTGGGAATCAGTTTGAAAACCAATAGGAAGAGACCTGGCAAGAACATTATAAAATTAATGCTGAGAAGCATTCAAAAACCCTAGTTGCCAGATACTTTGTATGACTAACTGTTTTACACGATAAAAAAGGGAATTGACATTTCCGGAACTTCTGAGGCGTTTGGGATGTGTTTCGGTTATTAGCTGTGCTGCTGTGATGACCATCTGTATGAAAAATTATTTCTTCTTGTTTGACTCTTCCAACTCTTACTGAGAAGCATTATGTGCAGATGTTTTCACTCGTTCAACCAAAACTAAAATATAAAATAGATTTTATTTTTGATATGAACGCTCAGCTGTTCATTGAAATTCATGGGAGCATTTGATGATGAATAACATTATACGTCAGTTATTTGGAAACCACAGGCCAGGATACAGTGACGGAACCTTTCCGACACATCTATAATGCGCAACATCACTTCACTTCTGAGCATTTGAACCCAGTAAAGGGGCTTGACATCCTCGTGTGAGTCACACAAATGACTGTTTTGTCGGTGCAGAATAAATTTCCATCACATTTCAAGTCACCAGCTTAATTAGTACTTACTCAACCATAGAATTCCCAGGAGGGAATTGAGATAGTCGAAGTAAGCAAACAGGTGAATGCAAATTCCCATGGGAAGCAAAAATTAGTCAATGATGAAAACGAAGAAGAATTGTCCAGTGTTCAAGGGAAGGTATTGATTCTACAGTTCTTTCCTACTATCTTGGAACTGACTTCAACACCTGCAGAGCCTTCGTTGAACGGAGCAGAGAGTGTAGCCTCAAGCGGGGATTCGCAAAACGTGTATTTTTGGATGAATTCGTAGTGGGACTGTGCTCATTGGTGGAGTAGAATCCTACAGTAGATTTAAGTGGGATGGGGACAAATATGGAACTGGTACACTCGAATCCATCTGTCAGTTCATGGCAGCTTTTCGCGGTTCAACTGCACACGATTTAAAATGAGGGCTAATTTTAAGTAGGGTTCCGCGGTCCAACAGCTCGCTATTTAAAAAGCTGCGGTGAATTTAAGAGGGTATGCGACAATCGGTACTCATTTCGGTGAATTGTACGGCTAAATGGTCAATGATACAATTGATGATTACAGATACCGGGATGTTCTTAAACTGAACAATATTTTAAGTATGTGTTATATATCTAGTATACGTGCACTGATGCTTTCCTAGAACTACTTCAGTAATACGAACATCTTGTTTTGGGCAATGAAAGAAACGAACTGCATGATGCTTTGAGAGGGTAAAAGCATACAAATTAAAAATGTATAACTTGGTAGTCTGAAGTATGTCCTCAAGACACAACAGTAAACATATTTGAATAAATCTGTCCCACAAGTGTTTACCTATCTCTGTTATCCCTGTATACAGTATACACATTGCATGCTGCAAAATGTTCCTTTCACTGATTGGCTGATCAGGGCATCAGCCAGCAGGAACTATTGGTAATCAACGGAATAACCGTTCCCGAGACTTTGTTGATCCATTCCAAAGTCTTTTACGAACTGTAGGGAACTGGCTCCATCTTGTTGTGTCGCAGATAGGGAAGTAAAAACACGTGAATTGCATCGGTAACTGCTAAAACTTTCGGAGTAGTTGATCACAACAGAGCTACGGGTGTACCTTAAGGTCGAATGAACATGAGAGATTGTATCCGTCATCCTAAAAACGCATCATGGCACGCCAATAAAAAAAAACGAATGAGTCGGCAATCAACAAACAAACTTGTCAGGGACCCTATTTTTAAAGCAGATAAGTGTATGGTGATTTCTATTGATTCATCAAAACAAATACTATCCTCCACGAATTCTTCATTGTTATTCATACGGATTTTTGAAGCATTTCCAATTCGATTCATCACGCAACGAAATACTGAAACTGTCGCTCTTGCCCTCCCTCATACATATACACGAGCATAATTACGGTAATGTGTACTCTGTACAGAAAGGTATCTTCTGTGGTCATCTGGTGTTAAATTTGCATGGGTAATTATCTAATTTTCAAGATAAATCCAGATAATCGTATAATCCGTGCACGGCATGTGCGATCTTCAATCCACTTCCGTGAGGCTGGATTGTATCACTTCTATTTACTATTCCAATGAAAGCTGAGAATTGTTCTGTAAACCCCGTAATTTCTGTGGGGCTGTTCTAACTGGATGGCAAGTGTAAATCCTGTTACTCAGATTTTGTGTTTTGTTCTAGCGGATAGCACTGACCTGATTATCCCAGTCAGAAGGAGAACACGATTCACTAGACATTGAAACAACGTAATAAGACTTTCGGGGTGAAGGCAACGCAAATACAACTCGATGAATACACCGGATTGAATGATGGGCACGAAGGTAACCTAATAGGCATGCCAGTCGAGTGCGGCCTGGTGAGCACGAGGGGATTTCAGTCACGTGAGGCGGACTAATTTTTGACCTCACCACGTGTTTCACAGTTTCGGATCCTGTATCCTAACTTCCATTATTGTAATAATTCATCAAGGATGGCCAAGGAAGTTCGACTCACCTTACTGACAGACGTCTTTTCATTGTCGATGAGCAAAAATTATCGCACTATTTACGTGTTTCCTTCACTTGTGATTCTCTGTAATATTTTTTACATGTTTCTCACGTTTCTCTCGAAATACACTGCTGGTGAAAAGCTTCCGATTAGTATGACTCCGTTTGGGAAACTATATACTTATTCCTTCTTCACTGCTGCGCAAGGTTGTTATCCCAATTACTAGGTCGTTTTAAAACCATATTGACGCTCTCAATGATAAAGGATTATTATCATTGTTTGACAGCCTTGTTCTACAGTGCACGCAGTGAAGCAAGCTTGCGTTCTCTGGCTTGAGACTCAGGGTTCGGTGACCTGCGAGTCACCCATACAAGTGACGACAACCCCATACAACAGCTGTTCTGGTTTAATAGAAATATTTCACAGGCAAATTACGGGGTTAGACTACACTGAACAGAATGACATTATATTCGTTGCTTGTTGACCATTGTGATGTTTTTCATGATCATCACATCGATTTTCTTGTGTGAAGAATCGTGCATATGATCGGAGATTCGAAAGAAGTCGAACAAAATTAAACAACTTTGTCACCGAAGTATTCATAAAAACGACACAACCTTACAATTTTTACATGTGATCGCAATCTCTCAGTCAAATTCTCGTAAAGGCTGACTGTCGATCTCTCACACGTAAACAAAAGTATTCAAACGGCTTTACCCCTTGTGGAAATGTGCATTGTGCTGTGCTTATAATTTCGTTATGTATATTAGGGATTCGGAAATCTCCTTGAAAACACGTCATCAGCTAGGATGAAGTCCACATTCTTCCAACCCATGGACAGGGTGGTTTGTTAACACTAACCAAAGACAAGGCCCGCATATCTTACTCAGCAATACCGTCGTGACGCATGGGCCCATGAGTCAATCAGTCCATCACACGTCACTATTCACAGCGACCACTGACAGACAGCCCACTGCTTACTCTTCACATCAACACTGCGATCTGGCTCAACCAGTTGAATTTGCGCACCGAGGTGGACGATCAATAAACAACGCTATATGTGTCCTTGTGTCCATGCGGCCGATATACGTTGTTCCTGTAGAAAAACGTAAATCGGCCGCAAGACCAGGCGTTTGTCTGAACTCATCCGGGAACACTACCCTGCACTGTTAAACACTGGAGCAGTTAAGTCACTCACTAGCGCTGTTGTTTCACACCTTGCTCTAACTGATCACTCAGTAAACATGGCTGAGGCCTTCCGTGCGCTGTATAAGATTGGGGATCGGCAATCAAGACCTACAAAATGTCGTGCACTAGCCCCAGTTGAGGCTGTCAGCGTCCAGCTCCACAACCACCCCTATGTGCTCAGAAACAACATGTGTGCTCTGAAGCTGCCCTGGCCCTCCCTCCACCCTACAACAGGCCATAGACCAGATGAAAATTGACAAAACATTAGAAAAAACAATACATATCCGGGTCTCAATTTAAGCCCGGATTAAAATTGTTTCTTTCTCCCCACCTTCCCTCATTTTATCACCATTATTTTTTTCACTTCCTACTTGTCTAATGGGTTCCGTCCTCCAACTTATCGTAATATTTGCGATGTAATGGCATGATTATGAATCACTGAAAACGAGCCAGTTTGCCAAACTGTGTTCTCCGAATGTATTCATTGGGAATTTTCTGACACCATTCATGTTTTCTTCATAAAAATGATAGAGAGTATTGGTGACAAATTAAGAAAACGTTTGTAGTCATGGCTTAACTCAAGATCGGAAATGGTTATGTTCTCATGTGTTGTATCAGTTTTCATCTGGCCCATGGCCTGTTGTATGGTCGAGGGTTAGCCGGGACAGCTTGATAGTACGCTCAAATTACTTTTGTGCACACAGATTGGGGTTGGTGGGGTGGATGACGACAATCTCAACTGTGGTCAGGATGCGACATTTTGCTGGTCTCCTTTGTCAACCGCGAACCTTATATAGGGCACGAAAAGCCTCGGACGAGTTTACTGTGCGATTGGATTGTGCTAGGTGTAAAACGACCGCGCTAGTGAGCAACTTAGTTACTTAGGTGTTCACCTATGCAGGGTGGTTATCGCAGATA